CGACTATAGCCCCCTTACCTGTGGTTTCAGTTACCCATGGTCAACTGCGGTCCAGAAGTGGACGAGCCTCCTTCTGACATGTCAGAAGGTCAACAGCAGCTGAATGAACGCTACATCATTTCCCTCATGTCATCTCATCACGCAGGCATTTTATCATCTTGAATCATCACAAGAAGGCTGCGTACAGGACAAATAAGGTATTTTGAGACAGAAATGCCACATTCACAATAGTATATTGTTATGATTGTCTTATTTCATTATTAGTTATTGTCGCTAATCTCTTACTATGCCCGATTTATAGATTAAACTTTATCATAAGTATGTGTGTATAGAAAAAAACAGGAAATATAGGGGTTGGTACGGTCTACGGTTTCAGGTGAGACTGTATCCCCTGTGGAGAAGGGGGTACTGCTGTATCTTCTTCTCTAATGAGCTGATATAGGCGTCCATCTGTGTACTTTTAACTCTACACATATGTGCATAGTGCACCGGCACTAAATGTGGTATTCCTGCAGACCTGAAGCTTGGACCAGAAACCTGCTCTGGCTCATGATTTGGAGAGTTGGTGGCAGGTAGATGGGAGGTTGTCAAAATGGAAGCTTTAGCAGGAGACAAAATCCCCGGGAGAGAGTGTGAATGAGCAAAGAGAAGAGGGTAGAATCTGGGGAACCATTTACTTTTAAGGCAGGGACACTGGAAAAGGAGCTCAGAAGACCCGGACAAAGAGGTGGGAGGGAAACCCGGAGGGTGTTGGCATGGGAGCCAAGAGAGGAGAGAGTCTGAAAAGTAAGGAGAGGTTCAAGATTGTCAAATGTGGCAGGAGGTCAGGTGAGGTAAGAGCTGGAAGGCTCACACTGAATTGAGCAACATGGAGTTCCCTGGTGACGTTGGTTGGTGCTTCAGTCCAGTGGTGGCCACTCTACTGTGGGGGGACTGAATGGTGACCAGGGAAGACAGACACGGGGTGGGAGGATGGGCAGCTCTTCCAAAATGTTTGGCAATGAAATGGGGAGGGCAAGAAGCTGTTGGCCAGACGGGGGATGACGTGTTCCTCCAGAGACAAATTTGGCCCTAGTGTTACAGAAAGACAAAATCTTCACGAGCTAGGCTTATAGGAAGGTGCGGGACATTTAGCCTCTGTTAGGAGGGATGAGGTGAAACTATGGAATCCCACCGCCTACCCCCATCCTCTCTGAACAGACGAGTAAGAATTTCTGGCAATTGTGGAGACAAAATTTTAGAACGGTAACAATGACCGCTGATGTTCTGGTTATTTATATGAGTAATGGCCAAGTTTATTTTGGGATTATGATTCCAAATTGTAATGCACAATGCAATCAAAATCCCAGAGTTGGGAGGAGGAAAAGAAAAAGAGGGTGAAACAGTAGCCAAAAGAAAAATGACACTGATAGGCTATCAACATTACTGCTATCACTGCGTAAGGAATAATGAAACTAATGGACTGTATTCTGAAAACAGAAAATGCCGTGGGTAACTGATAGAATCCAATGGGACAGATTAAATTTCTTCTACTTTTATGATGAAAACCAGACTTGAAATTACTTTTGATTTGTCTTTTGGCCTCACCACACGTTTGAGGGAATTCGGATGTAGGCACCTTATCACTGACATTTACTGGTCAAGATAAGAATCGTCTGTTCAGGTTTGTGGGCCATGGGGACTGCCATTATTACAGCCTCAAGGTAGATTACCAGGTGTTGCATAATTATTGCGACATCTAGTCTGTAAGGAGTAAGGAAATTTGCATCTGAGTATAAATATTTGTATTTAATCTTTGTTTCCCTGGGGGGGGTGAAAAGAGCTGGGACCCCTGATAAAGTCACCTTATTTAACAAACATTGGGCATAAAGATAGTTTTCAGAGATGAAGGAACTATATATAATTCCTAAAATAAACTTTCTCCAAACCAGAGAGCAATTTAAGAAAATGCAAAGCTATGAAGAAAGGATATTGGCGAATCTTCCTTAGGTTGCTTCACAGTACTGAGTAATTGCCTTAAGGTAAAAGCTCATCTCTTGTGTTCTAGAAAATTCTCAGACCATTCAAGTCACGAAAAACCATTCATTGTTTTTGATTAACCAGCATGTGAAGAATCTTGTCTAAATGGGTTAGAAATCAAAGTGTTTGCCTTGAACAAAAACGTATAGTTTGGAGATGAGAAATATTGCTGGTTTTGCTCAATTTAGTCATCTATGTAAAGGGTCTCTGGCCTGAGAATAAACCCCTTATTCCCAAATATTTTGAAATATGGAATTAAGTGTGTGTGTGTGTATGTATATGTGTCTGGCCTGGGAATTAAGTGTGTGTGTGTGTATGTATATGTGTCTCCCCTTACTCCCAAATATTTTGAAACATGGAATTAAAGTGTGTGTGTGTCTGTGTGTGTCTGTGTGGCGGGGAGTTCCCTTCAAGTGTACATCATGTCCTAGGTGGAGCAAATGGATTTACAGGAAGAGGAACTTTCATGTTAGTTCAACTCCTAATTGTAAGTCAAGGTGACTCATTTGGGCAACGAAGGTCAAGGTATGTGAGGAAAGAGACAGACTCCTCACTGGCTATTTTTCTACAAGTGAAGATGCTTAAAACCCTAAGTTTCTTCTTAAATGTCTCTTAGTACCTGTCATTTTTGAAGTTGTAAGTGAAAGCTGAGTTTTAAGCACAAAGGAATAAAGGATCCTATACAGTGAAAAAAAAATTGACACAAGAATTTCTCAGAAAGAACTTAGTGAATTTTTATAAACTCTTTGAAGTTGTTTTTGAATGACTGAATTCATTGTCCAAAGACTCAAAGGAGTTGGAATTGGTTGGAATTTTCCACTCTTTGCCATACTCCTGGGTCACAGGCACAATTTTTCAAAATATTGGTAGAGCCAGGTCCTAGTGCCAGAATGAGGGAGACATTTTATGTAGTTTCTCCTTCATTAACTATAATTTTAGCTGTTTTTGTTTTGATTGAAATTCTCCTGGTTGGTTCAGTTGGTTAAAGCTGGGGCTAGCTAACTTGGACCAGTGCCAGATATCTGGAGCCAGACAAGCTTATTCTGTCATTGATCACCACCTCTTTCCGCCCTCTTTCTCCTGGCCAACAGAGGTACTCACCCTCTTGGCTACATGTTCAGGGTTTAGAACATCCTCTGATGCCCCAGGCAGGTCGGGGTGGAGGTGATGTGGAAAACAGTCATCAGTCTCTAGGGGCCAATCATTGTAGTTCTATGTCTTTGTCTGTGAAAAGTTGGGTGGGGAACCTACCTTGAGGACAGTTGGCTTCTTCCATGGGGTAGAGAGGTTTCAGCCTTGACCCCCCTCTAATTGTGATAGGACTCCAGCCATCCCATTTCACACAGTCCCCCACTAGATCCTTTACTTTCACTCTTCAGGGCCTGCCCTGATGATGAGCTTCAGGTATGGAACTCCTTGGGAAAATCCCTTCTCAGGCTCTTGGTGAAAACCTCAAAGGGATGGAGCGAAGCTGATCATAAATCTGGGTAGAGCAGACCTGCACACTGGTTGATTGCAGAGCTGGAAAAGCCAGGGAGAAAGTTGTTGGTTACTTCTTTTATTTCCCTTCACAGCTGTTGGTCTAGAATCCCACACAGGGATACCCTAGAAAATGTTCAGAAGAAATCAACTTTATCTACTTTCCTTCTGAGAAACTTTTTTGAGTAGCTGCTGGTAAACCTCACCAGCTTTTTCAAGAAGTTCATAAAAGCCACTTAATGTGTTGGAGCATCTTTGTGGTTTCTTTCGGTTGCCTGAACAGAAATGTAATGTTAGGTACAAGAGACATATAGTAGTGTCTCCCTATAATTTTACACACATCCACATGCAGTTTTCTGTTTATAATTTCCCTCCCCATCTCTTTGCCCTAAACCTTTATAATAAGCTCATTCATTTGTAACTCTACTTGGCTGCCTGATGTTTTTAGAGTAGAATTAGTGCAATTGCTTTCCCCGGTAAAAAGAGGTAGCTTGGCAGTGGTATTGAGAGAGAGGAAAGCTGGCTAGCCAGGGAATGCAGTACTAGAAATGTAAGCCCAGTAAACAGCACTGACTGCTTTAGAGAAATGTTTGCTGTCTGGATGTCCCCAGCCTCTTAGCCAAGCGATAGATCAAGCCGGCAGCCCTTTAGATACAAAGATACATGAATGCTCTGCCTACGAATAAACACTCTTTGTAAGGAGAGAAAAACTGGTCTGAAGAGAATTTCTCAGGCGCTTTGATTGTCTGATTGCACAAACATCGCCTCGTCAATTTTTCTCACAATCTGAGAGAGGAAGTGGCATGAATAGGAATGTCTTTGGAGCTGGAGGGTGGGGACAGGAGGGAGAGAGACGCTTCCCCGCCATCCGAAGAGGCGGGAGGGCAAAGAAAACCTTCAGGAGGAACCTGCGACGCGGTCCCTCCCCGCGTCCCTCTCCGGGCGGTCCCCTCTCCCCTGGGGCAGCGCCGGGGGCGGGGGGGGCGCCCCGGCCGCTGGAGGCGGCGGGTTTCGTGCGCTCGGGCACTGCTGGGGGCGAAAGGCGCAATTCCGCGTCTCCGGCAGGAGAGGCCACGGTCACCCGCGCGGAGGACCATCTCTGGCACCAGACCCAAGCTGGTTCTCTCCGGTGTCTACGCACAGGCGGCCGCGCGTGCCCACGCGCACACATTCCCGCCTCCGCGCGCAACTCCCACGCCCCGGGCCCTGTGCCGGCCAGGCGCCAGATCCGCCTCCCCCGGCTGGACCGAGAGGGTCCTCGGCGGCGTCTTTAAGGCCGCGGTCCCCGCCCCTCCCTCCTCCCCGCCCTCCCCCGCCCGTCCTCCTCGGTGTCGCCGCGGCTCCTCCCGACCTCCCCACGAGCCGGGCTGCCGGGCGTGCGCGGCGCGCGGAGCAGGTGCGGCCGAGCCCCTCGCATGCCGCTGCCCCGCCGGAGGTGCTAGCGGCGCCGGGCGCGCTCCGCCCGCCCCTCCTCCGGGCCGCACTCGGGCTCCGGCGCGCGCGGGGACATGTCGGTGGCGACGGGCAGCAGCGAGGCGGCCGGTGGGGCCGGCGGCAGCGGCGCGCGGGTTTTCTTCCAGAGTCCCCGGGGCGGCGCCGGCGGCAGCCCAGGCTCGAGCAGTGGCTCAGGCTCCTCCCGTGAGGACTCGGCGCCCGTGGCCACGGCGGCCACGGCGGGGCAGGTTCAGCAGCAGCAGCGGCGCCACCAGCAGGGAAAAGTGACAGTGAAATACGATCGCAAGGAGCTTCGGAAGCGGCTGGTGCTGGAGGAGTGGATCGTAGAGCAGCTGGGTCAGCTGTACGGATGCGAGGTACCTGAGCGCGGGGCCGGGAGGGTCGGGGGCCTCCCTCGCCCCGCTGTGCCCACACCGGAATTCTCCAGGGCTCCAGCTCTCGGGTGCGCACCGCCCTGTCTCCTGGGGACCCAGCGCTGGGAGCGAGGCGCAGGGCGTTCTCTCTCCGGGGTGCCCTCTGGCGCCGGGGCGCCACAGTTGGGACGCCCCTGCCTGGGTCCAGATGCCGGGTGCCCGCAGAGTTGCGGGCCCCCTTGTTGGCAGTGGGGAGCGTTGGGTTTTGCTAAGCACCTTGCTTTACTCGGGGCCCGGGGCGCCTCTAGGCTCCAGCTGCAGCTACCCTCAGAGGGCTCACCCCAGCTGCGCCTAACCCAACAAGAACAGTACTCACTGCTGAGATCCTGGCAATCCTGATTTCTGTGGAGGGGGAGCAGGGAAGGGACCTGAAAGCTGCTTAACGGAGAGGAGAGGTTCTAGGGATCCCAGAGGACCCCTCGATTCCTGAAATTCTACACCAGAATCAGGAGATGAACGCTTTCCCTTTTGCAGCCAGCCCCGACGCGCGTCCCCATAATTAATCCTTGCATTTACCCAAGCTGCACACGTTGGGCTTTGTTGAAACAGCTTCCCCCCCCCGCCCCGGTTGAGCTCGGTTACTCCCGTTGATGGGCGCAGAGTGAGAGCCTTTGGCAACCTGGAAGGGTGCCTGGTGGAAGGAAGGTAGCTCTGCGGGTGGTGTGCGGGATGCCCAGAATCCACCAGCTTCCCCTCCGCGGCGGCCCCTGTGACTTCCTACGGGTTCAGGGGCTAAGGTTCATACACAACTCCGACGGACGCGTAGATGCTTGATGTTAGGAGAAATACTTCGAATAAGCTGTAACAAACGTCTGCTAGAAAAATGACTGAAGCCAAAATGATTCCCCATGAGAGTCTTTAATAACAGCGATTCTGAATGAAGTATTGTACTTCTCTTAAGGGCGTGGAGTTTGGGAAGGGTGGGAGAATGGAGGGGATTAATAATTAAGGATTGGGCTTCTAACTTAAAGCAGGTTTGTGTCCATACAGCTGTTAGCGCTGTTCAGCAAAAATGAAAGCCAGATGAACTCATTGGCTTTTCTCCTGGTTTGGGGTATTGTGTTTTTCACACATTTTATGGCCTATTGTGAACGCATCCTTTCCTTAACATTCTCATGGTAGGAGGCAACAGCATCCTCATTAGGGACTACTGATGAATGATTAGGATATAATGAAGCTTGACTATATGACTAATAGGCTTGTAAAAATATATTGTTTCCCCAGCCTGGCTCTTACAAAAAAAGCCATTTTAATTGCATAAATAAAAACTGGCCAACATACGAAGTGTTCCTGGGATTTCTTTCTATCTTTTTCTTTTTCTTCTTTCTTTCTTTCTTTCTCTTTCTTTCTTTCTTTCTTTCTTTCTTTCTTTCTTTCTTTCTCTTTCTTTCTTTCTTTCTTTCTTTTGAAGGAAGTTGGCAAAACTCTTTCAAGAAACACTGTATTTGATTTAGATGGGATTACTGTTGGGTGGATGGATGTGCTCAATCTTGCCTCTGTAGAATCCAATTAATTTTCATTTATTTCATACTGACCTTTATACTCCATTTTGGATTTGGAGAAGATTTAATAGAAAAACTGCTGAAATTAAGAGTGCTTTAGCAGTGCTCCTTTTATGGGAGGCTAATTAGGTGTAGTTGGGGAAACTAGAGAGTTCTGGCCCCTTGGCAAATCAAAAAATTTAAAAATTCTTCAGAATAATTGGGGAAAATGGTGGATTGGATGTTCACTGTATTGAACATGTAGGTTAGATACATATTTTAAAGGGTAGACATCACCTTGAATCTTTTCCTGGTACATCTCTTCTCCTATTTTAGACCTTCTGGTGTACAGCAAACTAGAGATTTGAGAGAGGGCTTTATGCGGCCAGCATGTCATTACAATGTGGCAAGTGTTTCTCTTTCAGTTGTTTGCTCTGTCATTTTAGGTTTAAGGAATATTGGTCATTGAGAAGGTTGTTGGCAGTTTGTAATTACCAAGCTGGTGCTACACCTTCCTTTAATGACAAAAAGCATGTGGACTCATAAATAGGCGTATAAAGAATTGTTTTCTTCCATCTATTTCTCCACTGGTAGGGCTCTATTTTTAGCTTAGCTTCTCTGGTCGGTAGCCTTTCCTTGCTGATGGCTTCAAGTATGTCAGCTCCTGCTTTCTTAATCGAGAAGGACTAATCGCTCTGAATCTCATGAATGTAGAGGGTAGGGAATGTTCCTTTTACACTTAAAATTGGTAATGTTGTCAAATTTTTACTGCATGCAATTGACACAGAAAGCGAATTTGCCAGACTTCAAACTGGCCGGGGGCCTGAGCTTTCTGCCAAATTGGGGGAGATGATGAACACATATTTAATTTCAGAAGAACTTGTATCAGGCCAGTCAGGAGTTGGATGACTTGTCCTTTTCGGAATAGAAAATAGTGATCTTTTGGAGAGGCATAAAGCATGATATTTAAAATTAGGAGTGGGAAAGAAGAAATACACAGAATAACTTCCTGGCTGTGGTCTTGTCTTGAAGTTTGCAGTGGCCAGTCAATTTTGTATGGAGAATAATCTGAAGACAGCCTCTGTGGAGTGCTAATAAGCTAATAAGACTAATTGATTTAGTCTTTACAAAAGCCCTATGAAGAGGTTGCTTGCTATTGTCTGTTTTACAGGTGAAGAAACTGAGACCCAGAGTAAGAGGCTTTCCCAAGCTCGCAGAGCTGGTGAAGGGCAGGGCATGGGGATGGGAGTATGAACCGTGGTCGTGTGGCTCTGAGCCCATGTGTTAATCACCAGGCCCTGCCTCTTAAGTTTGCAGGGGCCCATGCAAGAGAACAGATGGAGGCCCTCACAGCATGGGTCTAGATATTTAAAAATAATGCATTTGAAATGAGCATGATATAAAATTTATTCTGTCCACCTCCCTTGACAATGATATCTCCATAGTGGCCTGGAAGGCTAGGTTTGAATTTTGGGACTTCTCAGACTTCTCAGAGCTCACAGCTGGAATGCAGCTGGAGAATCCCCTGGCGTCGCGCCTGCTTTCTTTTCTTCCCACCCACAGTATAGTCTCACCTGGTGAAGAGCATTGTGTCCACTCACATACCCAATCTCTGTCTACTCTGTCTACCTTTCATCAGACCTTTGGCTCAGACCAGTGGCAAAGGCCCCCTTGGGAGGACAGATCTGGGAGGAGCCTGTTCATGCCCTGGAAATGGCTTGGTATTGGATCAGGAAACTCTGGGGATCTGCAGCAGAGCCTAAAACCAGACAGAGGGACAGCGGTTCCAGGTAGGTGGGTCCAGCTGGTCCTAGGAGCTCTGCAGGAAGATGGGTGTGGGAGGGTTAGGGCCCAGGACCATGGCTCTTCTGTCCCAGTCTAAGGGCAGTATCGCTGCACGCCACATCAAACAGCCTTTTGGTATAGAGATAAGTGTTTTTTATAAATTCTAAAATGCTTAGTTATGTTTATAGTTATTTTCCATTTCATCTTCTTGTACAGATAGTTAAATTTTCAGCTAGGGATTTGGTTATAATGGAACTATTAGGATGGATCTGTATCCTCATTTAAGAATTTCTGTTTTGAGACATTTTCATATCTCATCCAGACCCAGACAGTTTTTTAAGAGTGTTTGAAATCTGGCATCAAGTCTCCTTTGACAAGTACTGCAAGATGGCTTACTGGATAAATCATATCATTTTTTTCTCATCTTGCCCAGTATCAAGATAACATCTGTACTTCCAGTTTTGCAATGTGATTTGCTTTGGAAATAAAAGCCTGTTGTTAACCTCAGATTATTGAAATGCTTCTAGCAGCCTCGCCATAAACAGACTTGTGCGCTGAAGGCATTTCCTGGGTTACCCTGGGGGTCCAGTTAGGCTTTCCCTTTGCTGCAGCTGTCTGCATTTTATTATTATTTTTTATTTTTTTTAAAGATTTTATTTATTTGTTTGACAGAGAGAGAGAGAGAACACAAGCAGGGGGAGCGGCAGGCAGAGGGAAAGGGAGAAGCAGGCTCCCCAGTGAGCAAGAAGCCTGATGTGGGGCTCCATCCCAGGACCCCGGGATCATGACCTGAGCCAAAGGCAGATGCTTAACTGACTGAGCCACCCAGGCGCCCCAGCTGTCTGCATTTTAAAACGTGGTTTCTGGTATGTTATACCTTTGCATCCTCCCTGACTCCCTGTCATTGCTCCTTCTGTAAATCAGTGTTTTTCCAAATGTTTGATGGTGACCCTAGAAAGAAATACCCTTTAGATTGCTGCCTGACACACGGACACATGGATGTATGAAAGACACATAGATTCACAAAGCACCACTTAATATTACCATGTATGCTAGAGAAAAAAATGACAAGGGTAGTGTAAAATATGACTTTATTAATGTTTAAATACAATGTTCTCTTTCCTTTTCCAGAATTGCTGGTTGTGACCCTCTAAATTGATTTCAGGGGGCCCTGGGTGGCTCAGTCAGTTAAGTGTCCGACTCTTGATTTTGGCTCAGGTCATGATCTCAGGGTCGTGAGAGTGAGCCCCACATCTGGCCCAGTGCAGACTGGGCATGGCGCCTGCTTAAGATTCTCTCGCTCCCTCTCCCCCTCTTTTTCTCTCTAAGAAAGTTAATTAATTAAAAAAATAAATAGATTGCATAACATTTTTGGACGGTGGCATGCAGTTTAAAAAATACTCCTCCAGGGGCACCTCGGTGGCTCAGTCAGTTAAGCGTTTGACTCTTGATTTCAGTTCAGGTCATGATCTCAGGGTTGCGAGATCAAGCCCCGAGTTGGGCTCGGCGCTCAGCGGGGAGTCTGTTTGAGATTCTCTCTCTCCCTCCGCCCTTCCCCCCTCTCTGTCTGTCTAGAATAAACAAATAAATCTTAAAAAAAAAAATACTCCTCCAGAAAGGGAAAAGCCTAAACATATGTGATAGAATTAGCTGGTGTTTATTACATGCTCTCTATGC